GTCTATCATCCATCCATCCAAAATAAAATCTAACAAACTCTATCTATCTATCTATCTATCTATCGTTCTATCTATCGTACTATCTATCGTTCTTTCTATCTATCTATCGTTCTATCTATCTATCTATCTTTCTATCTATCGTTCTATCGTTCTATCTATCTATCGTTCTATCGTTCTATCTATCTATCGTTCTATCTATCGTTCTATCTATGCGTTCAATTCAATTCAATTCAATTCATCCATCCATCCATCCATCCATCCATAACAAACTGGATCTAACAAAATCTAACAAACTGGATCTGTCTGTCTATCTGTCTGTCTATCATCCATCCATCCAAAATAAAATCTAACAAACTCTATCTATCTATCTATCTATCTATCTATCTATCTATCTATCGTTCTATCTATCGTACTATCTATCGTTCTTTCTATCTATCTATCGTTCTATCTATCTATCTATCTTTCTATCTATCGTTCTATCGTTCTATCTATCTATCGTTCTATCTATCGTTCTATCTATGGTTATATCCATCTATCCAACGTTCTGTCGTTCTACCATTCTATCGTTCCATCCATCCATCCATCCATCCGTCCGTCCGTCCGTCCGTCCGTCTGTCTGTCTGTCTGAAAATCCTTCAAAATAAGTGATTAAGCAAAAGAGTAAAGGCATTTTAAAGTGATAAACTTGAGTCAGATCACTTAGAAAAGTACTGGCATACCTTGATGTGTCATTCATGTCTGTAGCACAATCAGTGCAGGACAAGTTACATGCCAAAGTGTAATATTTATAGGTAGGAGTTTGTTTAAATCCCTAACTCTAAGTGTGACTGATATTAATAGAGATGCTTGACTTTGAACTGCCAACAATGCTGAATGAATATTGGGACGGATGCTTTAGAGCCTGTACTCCCTGAGATAAGCTATTTGGCTTGTGTGGCCTGAAATAACAGATGTATATTGCAAAATTTCTGCCCTAAAGGTGAGTTGCACAAGCACCTGAGAATTAGAACCAACAACAGTGTAACCCCCGGCAAAGGCCAGATAACATTATTATTATGGAGAACATAATGTGCATTTCTCTATTAATAAAGTGTGAGCGCTTTTGACTGCTGGTCCAGTTCTGACTACAGCAATTAACTGCATCTGTCCTATTGTCTGCTGACCCGCTGCACAAACACTTACACAAAAAAAATAGTAATTGAAAAGACACAAATAAATAAAAACACCAGTGGAGTGCAGGAAATGGATACTCCTCTCTCTTACTCCTCCTGCCTGTTTGAGAGAGAGAATAAAGAGGTGACGATATAGAGAGACTAACAAACTGGATTTGTACGATTTCAGTGCTGGGGTGTTGTGGGTGGCTGAGAAGGCATTGCTATGCGGTTGCTGGGGTGTTTTGCTGTGGTTGCTAGGGTATTTGGGTGATTATTTAGTGGTCACAAGAGTCCACCACCAAATCTGTCTGATATCCTGGTCACTAGATATGACTCACTCCTCCTTCACTATTACTGAATGGAGTCTGATTGCAGCCAGACAATGAAATGATAGAGCGAACTAATGATAGAAAGAAAAAAAAATGAAAGAAACAACAATACATTGAACAAATGATAGATAGAATGAATGACAGATAGATACATAGATAGATAGAACGACAGGAAGATATATATATATATATAGACAGGCATACTTATTCATACATTAACTCATTGATATTTAGAGAAACTATTATTACAAAAATGTCATATAAATTAGTTTTATTAAATGAAAATAAACTGAAATCCATACATGTATAGCTGTATTTCACAGAAACATGTTCAGGGCACATTTCACCGCAAAAACCTACTTTTAGGTAAAAAAATACACATTTAGGTAATATACTGTAGTACAACTATTTGTTTATCAAGTTAAATACAGAATAATATAAAGTGTAATTATAAAAATACAAGGGATAAATATTTTGTATATACAGTACACACACTGCCGTGGAAACAGTAAATAAATATTTATTTTATTTCAGTTATCGAAAAATATTTTCATTAAATTTTCATCTTAGTTTTTGTTAATGATAACACAATGTAACAACAATTTGTTTTACTTACATTTTTTTTATGGTTCTTCTGTAATTCTGTGGTGCTAATTATTATTACACTATTTATTTTCAAGTAGCGTCAATATTTTGGTGAATATTTAGGTCAGGTAAATTTGATAACTTTATTATGAAATTATGAAAGACAATTTAATTATGAAGGATGGAAACATTCTAGAACTTTCTGTAACATTCTCTAATATGCTGTAATATTCTAGTGATTTCTGGAACATTCCAGCACATCGTGGGACTCGTAATAAAAGACAAAAATCATCCAACATACACTTCTAAAGTTTTGGACGACTCTCTTTTGGTAACTGTTTATGTTAAACTGTTGTTAGCTCAGTATTATGCATGTACCATGTTATTTTTATGCATGAGTAATAACAGATTAGTTTGTATAAGTTGTCAACATTTTTTCATCAGCACTGTTAATGATACACAAAAAGTAGTGTGATTCAGCATATAAAAATAAAAGCAAAACAAAACGTTCATAAAAATTTGCTCCACGGTGTAATAACGCTTATTTTGGGGGCTGTGCATTTAAGACTTGCTCTTGTAATTAACCACCTAACAACCTTCCAGACTTTAGCAACCACATAGCAACAAAAAAGCAACCAACTACAGCACCTTAGCATCATGGCAGTGAGTTTTAGAGTTATGTTTGTGAAACCAGCAGATGATGTGGGGTCATTTGTTAACGTCGCTGGTGCCAAAATTGAAGTGTGTCTCAAAATGTTTTATCGGTGTGCAGGGAGTAACTGTTTATGTTAAACTGTTGTTAGCTCAATATTATGCATGTACCATGTTATTTTTATGCATGAGTAATAACAGATTAGTTTGTCAACATTTTTTCATCAGCACTGTTAATGATACACAAAAAGTAGTGTGATTCAGCATATAAAAATAAAAGCAAAACAAAACGTTCATAAAAATTTGCTCCACGGTATAATAACGCTTATTTTGGGGGCTGGGCATTTAAGACTTGCTCTTGTAATTAACCACCTAACAACCTTCCAGACTTTAGCAACCACATAGCAACAAAAAAGCAACCAACTACAGCACCTTAGCATCATGGCAGTGAGTTTTAGAGTTATGTTTGTGAAACCAGCAGATGATGTGGGGTCATTTGTTAACGTCGCTGGTGCCAAAATTGAAGTGTGTCTCAAAATGTTTTATCGGTGTGCAGGGAACTCAAAGTCAATCTGGCGTCTTTCAGGTCAGATTCAGGGTTGGATCCAGGCTTTAACGTGGGTTGATGCCTTGATGTTTTACAAACGTATAAAAATCTCTCGTTTGCCCTTTTCAACATTACAGAACTGACAAGTTTGAGACTCAAGTATGAACTGTGTTTTTCTTCAAAAAGCGATTCCACTGTCGGATCTCACTTGAATAATTGCAGCGCCGGCTATGATTGACAGACAGCGAGGAAAGGAGTCATTCTGGAAAGTCTGTGAAGGCTGAAATGGCTTAGCCTTGAAATACTTTTGCTCTGTTTTACTATAGACTTTCACTGTCACAGCCGATTGACTGTTATGAAGTTTAAAATGATGGCCGAGTCCTTGAGATGTTTGGAGTTGGGAAGAAACAATAGATCTAATGTTTGTGGCAAACAGCTAACGGCTGTTTATAAGTCATTTGCATCTCAGTAAACAGCACAGTCATTTATAAAGGTCACATTTTATGGCATGTGAAGCTTCCAGTATTTCCTTCATTTAGCCTGCTTCAAATAGGGCCACTGTACCTTACAATAATATCATAAAAAAGAAGAAAAAACATTTATGCATTTGGCAGATCTTTTTGTCTAAAGTGGCTTACATTGCATTCAAAGTATACAGTTTATCAGTTAATGCATTCCCTAGGATGTGAATCCATGACCTTGCAGTTGCTAATTCCATGCTAAATAATATTTTAATAATATTTTAATAAATTATGTATATTAAATAAAAATAGTTATTTACTTACTTACTTACCTACCTACCTGTAATATTATTGGTATAATTACAATATATTGTACTGATAGTAAATCAATACTTGAGGGAATTCAAGTCAACTTCTGTGTCCAGAGATGGTTTTGAGTGTGTAGGTGAAGCCTGTTTACTGTGGTACACATTGAGAGAGGTGTTGCATAAGAGGGCAGCACTTACAAAATATTCTTTTTTTTTGCTTTTGTTTTTTTTCATTAAATCAGTTCCACTCAGCATGTGTTTAGCAACTGTCAGTATTATTTTTCTCAGAAAAAAAAAATATTTCATGGTTCAGCAATATTTTTGTCAGTTATGTTTTGCATGTATCGACTTAAGCTCCAATGTTTCTCTTAAAATAGAATGGTTGACATTCAGTGGGAGTAAAGTGCTACGAAATGAATGCGGATAGCAGCTCAGATCATTTGATTTTGTGTGAATTTCATGAGATGTTTAGGTGCATATTGAAATTTGAGCCATTTATCATTTTTCTTGAAGGCATTTCACAATTCTGTTGAGCAGAATGAATAAAAGTGCTCAATTTAATTTACGTGCCTGAAAGTGACACTTTTCTAATTCTGTTTTTAAATTCAGTTGAAATATATGATGCAACTTGTCATTTTAATGATGATATGATATGTTATTAAATCACAAGCTTGGCAAACCATTTTGGAGATTTTTGTCTTTCCATGTTGAAGTAGGAGCTGTATTGATTGTGAAGAGCAGCACAGGGTGTTATAAGAGAACTGATTTAATTTGAAAAAAAAAATATATATATATATATATCTGCAGGATCATTAGAAAATCACAGGTAGGGGAGTTTGATCAGGGTTGGAGCTAAACTCTGTAGCGCATTGGCCCTCCAGGGCAAGATTTGAGGAACCCTGGTATATATATATGTGTGTGTGTAGAAGGCAAATGGGTTTGATGTTTCTGCATTTTCTTCACAGGTTATCAGGAATTAATATTCCTGTGCCCATAGTCAGCAACAAGAACTGGCTACGGCTTCATTTCATCACAGACAACAGCCATCGGCATAAAGGATTCAGTGCTCAGTATCAAGGTACATTTGAATTATATATATATATATATATATATATAATTTTTTTTAATTCATTTTTTTTTAAAATATGGTGTGATTCACAATAAATTTCTTAAGGTTCTGGTAATTGCTTAATGCAAATTTAACAAAAACATTTCCAGGTCATATTTGACCTCGAAATAAGGAAAATAAATAAAAATAAATAAATAAATAAACATTCAATGTTCTTGTCCGACTTTTATTTTGATAATGTGTTTTGACCGTCTGTTACGTTTCTTTGGGTTTCCTATTCCACTTGTTCCTGTTTCCTTCCTTAATTGTTTGTCATCAGTCATGCTAGTTTCTGTATAAAAAGTCTCTCTAAATAGTTTCTCTTTCAAGTTTAGTTAACAGATTGTTTCGGATGAACTTTTTCATCTGCTTAAACTGCACTAGAATACTTAATTTCATTTAGACTTACAATTCAAAATCATGCATAATATCATTTCTTTTTTTTCTTTTGATTGTGGGTCATAGTATGACCTCTATTACGGGATTCACCCTGTCAATCTAAGTAATTATGTGCAGGCTGCAATATCAGAAAAAGCTTTAATCACCCTGTAAATCTTAATCAGCTGCTAATTAAATTACTTGATTTCTTATAACGAAGAACGGAAGATGACCTGTCAAAAGTTGAATCAAAGCATGACCCACAAGTTATTTTCGATTAATTTGATTGAAAGCAAATCTGAAAGATGAATTCTAGAACTAAAATAGAAGCAAAGCATGAGAGTAAAGAAAAAAACAAAGATAATTATATTTTCACACAGACAATACACGTCTCACAGGAACCATTTTGTCACATTTTGTTTATTTGTGTTTTAATTAACTTAAGTTTATTAGATAAACTATCGCTCATGTAATTTAGCAGCAGGCTTTTTAAATCTCACCTACACAGATTGAAAATGTGCCTAATTTTCTTTGTTTCTTTTGCTGAGCAGTGAAACGATCTGGAGATTTTAAATCAAGGGGAGTGAAATTATTACCCGGAAAAGACAACACAAGTAAATTTTCAATAAGTAAGTGTGTTTCTTTCTCTTTGTATAATTAAATACAAACAGTCATTTGAAAAGTGTATTTTGAATGCATTTTTACAAATAAACAGTACCGTGTTATGTAGGGGTTGGCGATATGACAGTCTTATATCACAAAATTAGTTATTTTATTTCACGATAACAATATATATGACGATATAGTTATTTTTGCTTTGAGTAAGGGTTTTATGATATAACAATTTTTGAGACCACTGAAATTTCATCAATTTCAAAATCACAAAAAACTAATACTAGCCTAACAAACATAAAAAAACCCTCTCAAGCTTAATGAAGATAAGTAAACAGTCAATAACAAAATAAGATCAGACAAATTAATTCCAAGCAATAGGACAAAAATCTATAATAGAACAAAGACACAAATGACATAGACCTACGAGAAAATCTTCAAGCACTAGAAATAAGAAATACTACTTAAACTGTATGTACAAAAATCACTGCATAGTCTTCACTGGGTAAATTAATTATAGATTTATTACTATTAAAGTTACAACAGTGATTCAGTCAATAGCAGTGAGAGATTTTCTCTCATTTTTCATTTGATTAAAGGGATAGTTCACCCAAAAATTAAAATTAGCCCATGATTTACTCACCCTCAAGCCATCCTAGGTGTATATGACTTTCTTCTTTCAGACAGATCCATTCGGAGTTATATAAAAAATTGTCCTGGCTCTTCCAAGCTTTATAATGGCAGTGAGCGGGTGCTTCTGTTCAACAGTTCAAAAAGAAGTCCTATAAAGCGCATCTATCCGTAATAAAAAAGTGTCCCACACGGTTCCGTGGGGTGAGTAAAGGCCTCATGTAGTGAATCGATGCTTTTTTGTAAGAAAAATATCCATATTTAAAACATTATAAACCGTAATCTCTAGCTTCCGCTAACTGTTGTATGCACGTTCATTCCGGGCGGATGATGTAGGACATATGCGTGGCGCATGCGCTGGTGAGAAGTGACGAACGCGGAAGCAGAGAGTAGAGAACAAAACAAAACACCGGTCACGAATTAGAAGTACAAAACGAGGATTTGTAAAGAAAAATTTTGGAGGATTTCGATATAAGCCAAGAGGAAACTGGTTTTCCTTTGCTAAAGTAAGGAAACTTTGCTTCCTTTTCTCCTGTAAACAAACGTTGGTTTTCGTGAAACTAGCATATTCGCACTGATCTAATATACTGACATGCATTCATTTTCTTTCTCAACTGTATACGTTCACTTAAGACATAAGCGACTCTGTACTCACTGTGTGGATACTAGCAAATATGGGCATTTTGATGCATAAGTGTGTGTTTGACCATTCAAGCCCAATGAGGCGCCCAAAAGAACTCAGTTCAGTAGGCCTACTCATGCTCTGTATTATAATATTAAAAGTGGCTTTATGTTACGCACTGTCTGAGAGATGGTTTGAGCGCACATAACTAAATTTTTGCTCCTTATAATCACTTGTTTTTAAACCATAGTGCTTAAAAAACATTCAAATGACAAGCTTTTAAACAAACGTTGGTTTTCGTGAAACTAGCATATTCTCACCGGCGCATGCTCTACGCATACGTCCTACGTCATCCGCCCGGAACGGCTTCCGCGTATGACAGATAGCGCAAGCTACAGAAAACTGGTTATAACATTTTAAATATGGATATGTTTCTTACAAGAATGCATCGATTCGCTACAGGAGGTCTTTATTCCCCCCCCGGAGCCGTGTGAGGCACTTTTTTATTATGGATGGATGCGCTTTATTTCAAAACAGAAACACCCGCCCACTGCCATTATAAAGCTTGGAAGAGCCAGGACAATGTTTAATATAACTCCGATTGGATCCGTCTGAAAGAAGAAAGTCATATAACCCTAGGATGCCTTGAGGGTGCGTAAATCATGGGCCAATTTTCATTTTTGCGTGAACTATCCCTTTAACATTAATGACACAGACAGCACCAGGTTTAGGCTGCTGTCACTTTAAGACCGAATGCACTGATCTAATATACTGACATGCATTCATTTTCTTTCTCAACTGTATACGTTCACTTAAGACATAAGCGACTGTGTACTCACTGTGTGGATACTCGCAAATATGGGCATTTTGATGCATAAGTGTGTGTTTGACCATTCAAGCCCAATGAGGCGCCCAAAAGAACTCAGTTCAGTAGGCCTACTCATGCTCTGTATTATAATATTAAAAGTGGCTTTATGTTACGCACTGTCTGAGAGATGGTTTGAGCGCACATAACTAAATTTTTGCTCCTTATAATCACTTGTTTTTAAACCATAGTGCTTAAAAAACATTCAAATGACAAGCTTTTGTGTTGGTGCAGCACGGAAACGTCACATGAGCGTAACTGCGATATAGATAATAGTCCAAAATCTCTACCGGTATATCGCCCACCCCTAATATTATGTGATATGTCAAATGATTATATGGTACTTTAATTAACCTTTATAATAATGGTCGGTATGACCAAAAGCTTGTTTTGTACAGTATGAGACTCTAAATGCAGATTGGATGAACACATGCACTGTAAAAAAAATTCTGTAGTTTTTACAAATATATTCCAAATAATTTTGGCAGCTGTGGTTGCAAATTACAGAAAAACTGTAAAAACATTTACAGAACAAGCTGTAAATTTTACAGTATAAAACTGTATTTTACAAACAAGAAAATTTGAGTGTAAACTAGTACATTCAACATTGCACACTGCTACTAAAATCTGTTTTGTATCTTTAACATAAATTGACAATCACCATAATAATGCAGGTGGTAAAAGAGACAGCAATATGAAGAATCAGTTCATCACAAGTAGCTTTTCCACAAGCTGAAGTATATACTAATATATAGAAGACAGAGTCATTCATGCAAACACTAAACACCATCATGGTAACATACACGACACTTAAATAATGCGATAAACATTCATTAAACAACAGAAGATGTAACATAAACCCACATGTACATAACTAACATGACAGCTATTAAGAAACATGATTATTTAAACAAAATACTTTCAAATGTGGAGTGTCACGCAGGGAATTCTGGGAATATCCGTTTACAGTTTTTGTACTGTAAATTATACATTGATTTGTTCTTTTTTTACTTCTAAAAATTGTACAATTAACAGCATTTTACTGTAAAATTACATGAAATGTCTGGTTAGATATTTTACAGTTTTCCCTGTATATAGTAGGGGAACTTACTGTTAACCTATTAACAGTTTTTTTCAGTAGCGTTAAAATTACACTTATTTTTTACAGTGTACGCCAATAGCCTTCGAGTTTGAGATGTGACGTAGAGCATGTGATTTGTTGAATGTAGTGAACGAATACGCCCTTCACTGAACCAGTTTCTTTTGAGTCTGAACGAGAGAGATCTTCTCGTTCGTGAAGGAAATGACCGAACTGATACATCTCGTTCGTGAACGAGTTGAATGAACTGGTACATGTCGTTCGTGAATTGAATGAACTGGTACATCTCGTTCGTGAATGAAATGAGTGTACCTGGTCAGTCGGCCATTAAGCATGTCAATCTCGATCAGCAATCAGCAGAAAGCGGATGCAAAGCGCAGTTATAGGTACTGTGCAAATAAACTTGTTTATATATTCATATTTAGCATACAGAACATAACTCAACGTTTAATCCCCGATTTATGAATGTTTAAATGTCTGACCAAACAATTAAAATGTTAAATATGCAAGAAAACATTGTGCTTTGGTCATCTGAACAACTTCAACAATTTATTTTTTGTCCGTAGCGTTTTTACAATATTTTAGAGTTAATATTACACTCATTTTTGACAGTGTGCATATCACACGGATTTTGTTAAAGGGATAGTTCAGCCAAAAATGTTGTCATTTACTCACACTCTAGTTGTTCCAAAACTATACGATTTTCTTTCTTCTGTTGAGCAGAAAAGAAGATATTTTGAAGGATGTTGGTAACCAAACAGTTGGTGGTAGCCATTGACTTCTATAGAACTTTTTCCATTATGGAAGTCAATGGCTACCAGCAACTGTTTGGTTGCCAACATTAATTAATT